GATATAGATACCGGTGAATTTCGCCGTTGTGAAATCATCGTTTTGAAATGAATTATACTGTAAGTGACTTAAATAAAATGAAAGAACATAAAATATTTTTGTCTACAGTAAATTGTTGATATTTACGGATATTAATAACMAATCTTGAAAGTGCTCAGCATTCGATTTAGGCTTTTAAAAACGCCGTTATCCCATACAACCCTCAGTGAATAAAAAAAGAGCGTTCGGGCGATYCGCCCACTCGAAAATATACACTTCAATAATAAATACACCAAATTATCGGCAGATCGCATCCAATATATATAAMTTTATCAGTTTTTAGGTACCTAATTCGGAGAATTTTGTTAGTTGGATGAGGTTTCGACGATATAGAATTATAGTCGTAGTGGGATCCCTGTGTCAACGAAGGGTTTTGTTTACATTTTCCTGGCTGGTGTGTACTATTACGTGACAAGGAACATCTACCTATCTTTTATTGGATTATACCTTATTTAGAGAAAGTAAGAGTTTCGGCGGTAAACTTGAATGTTCAACATGATCATAGCACCATTCATTCAGGATATAATTCGAACGCTGGCCTACGCTGGCCTAGCGATGTTTGCCGAAKTTTTTTCTGACCTCCTGGACCCTAACAAGCATTGGTACTCTTTGGACACTAAATCAWGTGGGGTTAAACCAAATGTCTTTTGTAAAAGTGATATTTATAAGTTTTTCCCTAATGAAATCATCGAAGTCGATCTGCAGCAGCTAAAAGACCAAAATGGCGGCCAAATAAAGAAGACATGGGGAAACAACAAAACGACTGCATTCGTTGCYTCTACTTTTGGAATTGTCGCTGGGATGATACGTCAGAAAAAGCTTTCAAGTGAATTCCTTGGATCACCTAGTTTGCATTTAATCAGAGAAACTATAAACAAATTTAAGCTTGACAACAATGTTCACGATGAACCATCCAGTTCGTCATCCAGTAATACGGAATCTGCTTTACAAAGTGTTCTACAACAAAAAACATGCCTATCTTCTTCCGGATATAGTTCTTTCGAGGAAATCTYAGAGGACAATCCATTTGAAACATCAAAAGCGGGCAAAAGAAAAGCTGCATCTTTGGCGCCAAGAAATAGCGCGMCAAAATTTACTTGTTCGACCCCTCTTTCTGYTTCGAAAGAGAGTACTTTCGCGGACATTGAAAAAGCCAGTGTAGGGTCACCATTCAAAAAGMGAAAGATAAGAAAAAAAGCCGAATCGTTGATGGCCCAAATACTCGATTTATGCGAGGAAAATGGCGAGAAMTTGAGCGAGGTGATCGCAAGATGCTGTTTGTTCGAAAGGAGGGATCGATTTAATGCACACCAATATGTCCAATATGTCCAAGATGTCTTTGCTTTGGTGGAAGAGCACCTTGGAGTGGCAATTACTGCTTGTAAAATTACAAGTCCCAATTTCAGACGATGGTTGGCAAGGCCTTTTGAATGGAACACATTTAGGAAAAGGGTCTGTGGTAAGAATTATTTTACACGTACTTGCAAACTCTTCTTTTTAATTTATATTATTGAATTGAACAATTAGTGATGCATCAAAACGAAAAAGTACATGTAGTAAAATTGCTTTTATTGACTGTAATTAAATAAATGATTGGATTCCATGTTATATGTCTTATTTATGTTTTAAAATAACACTATGTGTGGATTTAGATCGAAAATTCAACTCCTTTACTGTTTTCGAACAACAGCATAAAAGCAATGAAAAAGATTACTTTTGAGAAAGTAGAAAAAACCTACAACATTAAACCAATCACTAATGAAGCACTACCAGGATTTAAAGTTGGTCTACATGCTGTAACTCGTTGGCAAGTGCGTGACTTGAAGCTCCATGGGCAGATCCCAGAATCTCGTGAGTTCCAACTAAACCTCAAATTGGATGGTCGTCCTTTTGCAGGTAAACTTTTCATTCATAGATAAACAAACGCTTTATAAATGACATGATCAATATAATATTACAGTTTTTCATACTGTTATTCAATTCAGTTGTGGAAATCATTTGATAATTCCTGTTCTGCTTGAATGCAAGAAATGAATTATGAAAGTTGTGCTTGTGGAAATTGTGTTACTACGTCTTTTTTCATTTSMTTTCGTGGCACGTTTTCTCTATTGTGCACATATTGTAATCATATATGATTTCTTGTATCCTCTCTTAATTAACTTGTGCTTSTGACTAATAGCACTGAGTAAAGCTATATTCACCCCACAGGAAAGTATGCAATAATACTCCTTAAATGTCTGTAATWCTTTGAAACATACAAATGTATACAAAATAGAACTGCGATTACATAACTGTGCAACAAACTCAACTGCATCRATTTTCCTTATTTCTAGCTCAACTACAATAACATTTTGGTCCATACTCAGGGGATACATTTCTCTA